TTTTTTTTTTTTTTGTTAAATGTTTTACAGCCACTGAACTTGTTACAAGGTCAATTAAAATGATGATGGACTCCGGTTGTGAAGAGGTACTTCGGATAAGTGCAGGAGTGGTTGCGTCTTTTGTTTGTTTTCTTACCTAAATTAGTTGTCTGTCTTGTTTTTTCAACTTAAATTAGATTGGTCTATGTGTAGAATGTAGATTAGGTGCTCCTGCCATTTACATCTTTAAAGCAGCCTTCAATCTTCTTTAACTGCATGTGTTTCCTTTTTTTAAGGTGAAAGCAATTGATCATGTAACAAATGTAACAACTAACAATATTGGCTCATCAATTGGTAAACATATAAACAAGATTTTGTGTTGAAATGCTTTATCAGTTTCCAAACCTCCAATGATTTGATTTCGGTCTATTGCTGTTTGATAGAAACTGGTGAGAATGCTCTTGTTCAGTTCAAGCACAACACAACTCTTTTGTCTTAGCTTTGCGTTGGAATCTTATCTAATTTCTTCAAAACAATTCCTTATTTGGATAACTTAAAGTAACATGTTACATGGCATGTAGCTGCTCTATTGAAGGTTTTTTTTTTTCTGTTATATCATTGATGTGTTTCACCAATGTCTATGCAACTATTTTGCTTTCTGCATAATACTTGTATTTGTGTGTGTTGGCTTATTTTTGCATGCCATTCAGTTGGTCTTAAGAATGCTAGAATGATCCATCTGTTTTCAGTTCAACAGCTGCTTAATAGATGAGAGTATAACTTATGATATAACAATTTCCTCAGGATCTGAGTCAATCCATAAATGTCAAACAGTAAGGTTGTTTAGGTATAATCTTATTTCTGGACTTACAATGAGATGTGAACTCATGATCCTGTATAACTGTATTGTACTTGTGAAGGTTACACTAGAAGCTGAAGTCACAAATAAAGGGGCACTTGCACTCTATGGCCGTCTTGGGTTTATTAGGGCGAAACGACTTTTCCGCTACTACTTGAATGGAGTTGATGCTTTCCGTTTAAAGTTGTTATTCCCACACAGAGAGCTACCCCCATCCTTGTCAGCTGTGGCAAAGCAGGATGAGAGCCACCGGCACAATACTCAGACAGGACCTGAAGAAAATGCAGAGCTGCATCGAGGCTTGTAATATAAATTCCTTGGCCATTAGGTCATGCAATAAACTGGTTTGTTGAAGAGCAAAGGTTAATGTTATGAATCTTTGAGCTTACGAGTGAAAATGGATTAACAAAGTGCATTGAGAAGCAGGGGATACTACTTTCACTTGTACTAGTGTTCTGGTTGGTTTTTAATTAAAGGAATTTGGGGAAATGGTCCTTATTTTGTTAATGGCTTACTGTATAGATTTTTGTTGATAACAAGACTTATTTTAGGGCCTGTTTGAATGAGTTCCTAGGAGCTTCAGCTTTAAGATATTATTCATGTCTCATGAATTTAAATTTTACTCTTAAAATCTTATACTTTTAAACATTTTTTTAACTTCAAAAAACTCTTAAATAGTAAAAATTCAAAAGTTTCAAATTCAAACTTTTCATAAACTCATTTTTTACTTACTTTTCACTCACTTTTTTACATTTCTAAAAGCTAAAATTTTATTTTCTCTCCAATAAAAATTTAAACTTATCACTCATAACAGAACTCAAAAAGTAAAAGCTCTCATAAGTCACACTAAACAGACTATTAGTTAATGATACAGATATAGAACTTTTTATATAATTTATATGTTTATATTAGTATATGTATTTAATATTAAAAATTTTATATAATTAAAAAATAAATAATACATCAAAAAATTTAAGTTTGATTTCCTTGAATCAATAATTATAAATCATGTTACAAGTATACTCTATACTCTAGTTAAGTATTGGGTTTCTAATAGCTCACCCTAAAGTTGTAATTGTTTTAAAAAAAATTATATAAAAATTTGTGTTTGAATTATTGTTATTATTATTAATAATTTAAATAATTTAGTAATTGTATTTTTTATTAAAAATAAAAAATTTTAAATTTAAATCAAATAACATATAAACAAAATGAGATAAAAAAAAATTATCTCTTCTTGCCCAACAAAAAAAAATTATTGTAATTATTGTCTTCAACATCATCGTCCCGTTGCTACCGCATTCATTGCTTTTTGGAAGGGAGCAGAATGGTGTACCCAAAAAAATGA